CACCCCGAGTTCCGCGCCAACAGAATCTAAACAATACGCCCACCTGTCATCCCTCTTATCTCCTCCCGCACCTGTTCCTCCTCCCATCCCACATTGGCCAGAACAGCGCGGCATTTTGCAGAAAACAGCGGTAACCAATACATGAACAGCCTTCAATAACATTGTCAAACCCATTCGCACACAACAGAACACATGAACATCAGTGGCCGGTCAGGGTCGCCACAGTATTTACACCTCCTGACAAATCACACAAGTGTTCCCTTTCCCGTTATAGTATGAAATGTCAGTCGGTGCCATTTATAGGGACTCAAATTAGTAATCTGCTTCTTCTCTAGTGTTATTTTATTTACACCATTGACATATTACATATGATGTAATTTGTAAATATCTCGCAGTTTGGTATATGGGTGTATTGCTGTTAAAAGACATTTTTTATTGATGTATGTCAGCATTTGTGTGTAATATATTTCCGTACCCCCTCTCTGCAGGACCTGGAAGCCTTAGCTGGAGACGAGGCCTCCTCTATCTCTGTCGGACTTTCTGTTCAGGAGACATGTCCAACACCAGCAGAGTAGACAGCTTCTGCATCATCAAAGCAGCAAGATCAGCGTTGAACTGTAAAGGCATCAACAACCCTTTAAAGGCAGCCCAGTGTGGAACCACCACCAGTGCTGCCAACTAGCTTTATGCTGCTGCTGTGTATACTCAGCTATGTCTGCCTTTCCTTGAGAAAAGTCACCAATACTGTTGAGTGTTTTTTGCTGCACTGGGTTTCCTCTGAAGTGTCTGCTCTTTCTGTCTACTGTGCATTATCCAGATTAAAGCTGGTATCAGGGAAGCCAATCGTGTTAAAAACAGCATTGTACTTGTTTCAGTGTGTCTTACTCATAGACAGGAATCATTATCTGATCGTAAAATTCAAATCTAGGCAATTTTTACAATGAGTACATTTTTGCAGTTATTACAGACAAAAGATAAAGTTGGGCACAAGCGAGTGAACCTAGTGGAGCATTATCTGCTAAATAGCCAGTGTTTCTCTCAGAATTTGGTGGAAAGCAAAAACGAGTAGTAACTAGTGAACTCCTGCTCATCAGGTGGCCACAAATACAGTTCCAAATCATATGACAAATAGGAAACTCACCCTGATGAACAACATAGTACACAGTATAGTGCAGGGGTGGCGAACCCGCGGCTCTTTCACTGCTCTTCTGCGGCTCTTCAATCTATCCACATGTTCTGTGTTTACAATCGCAATTTATTTTTAAAATGTCAAAACATAATTTTGCAATAAAGGGGTATGTATTTAAATGCAATTGCCGAATCTAATTTGAATTTTTAATACGTATTATTTTTATTTACTTATTTATTTTATTTTTTTTACACAACCTCTCGGCGATTTACGGTAGCCCGTTGACTAACACGATTGAC